TGCTGTCTGGGTTTATCACTACCCCATACTAATAATAACAACAGAAAATAATATATAATAATTCGCTTCACAGATGAGGTGGGTTCAGCAGACCCATCCCACCTCGGGGTGGCAACGCTCTCACGACCAAGCACGCAGGAGTTGGGTCACAGCTCCCAGCACCTTTTGTGCTTCCTGAGAACTCTCGTGACCGAGGAGGAAATGGGGAGGGTGAGAAGAGGACCCCAGAGCTGCTGGGGATTAACACTCACACCTCCAGCTATAGGGCTGGGCACACCTTTGACAGCACTCCACTGGATACATTTCGCTCCAACACTGAGGTGAGGCACGCATCCCACAGTAATAATAATAATATCTATTTCTTCAAGTACATGTACAAGGTATACAGGCCTAACTGACATCAGTGACATACTACTACTTAGAAAGTCCCTTGTTATGCATAGCATTTTGGGCAAATTAGGTCAATTTTGATCCAGCATGTGACCCATGCCAGTCGACTAACACCCAGGTATCCATTTTACAGATGGGAATCGAACCCGGACCCCTCAGCTTGTGAAGCAAGAGCTTTGCCAACCAGGCCACAAGCCTGGTTGACAATGCTCTAATGCTCACACATAGCAGCTTTTTTTGCTAATAAGCTAGGTTATATCAGAAACAAAATTGTTAATCTACTAATGGGTAACTAATGGAAAAAAATAATCACAAGGGGCTTTGGCATGTTGCCTTTAATAACTGTATTCCTTTGTACTTCTCTGTATCATGTTCAAATTACTAAATAATAAATAAATAAATAAATAAAGATAATTCTAGAGATGCATCTTGAAGGGCTGAAGATCAAAATTGTCAATGAAGAATAGGTTGGTAGATTGTTACACAATACAGTGGTACCCTGAGTTTCGTACATAATTCGTTCCATAAGGCTGTTTGAGTGCCGTTACCGAACAAATTTGTACCCATAAGGAATAATATAAATTAGATTAATTCGTTTCAGACCCCCAAAAATACACTTACAAAAGCACTTACAATAATGCACTTACGTAATTGTTCAAGTAGGGAGCTGTATGAAACTCGGGGTACCACTGTATATGTTGAATGGAAAAATTGAGAAGCTTTATCTGGAAAACTGCTGAATTATCTTGTGCATATCTGACAGATCTTTGTTCAGTAGTTTTCCAGCATGTTAAGATTCAGTAAAAATAAGTATGTTTATTAAGGTACAGGTCCACATAAGCACAAGAATAAATTCTCGGGTTGGCTAACTTGAATTATTTTTGCTTTTGAATATAATTGTCCTATGTGTTTCTTAATACAGTGGTAACCCAAGTTTCGGTCATAATTCGTTTCAGAAGGCTGTTCAAGTGCCGTTACCAAACGAATTTGTTCCCATAATAATGTAAATTAGATTTGTTCGTTTCAGACCCCCAAACATACACTTACAAAAGCACTTACAATAATGCACTTACATAATTGTTCGAGTTGGGAGCTCTATGAAACTCGGGGTACCACTGTAGTTTCTTATTCCTGCAATGTTCTTTTCATATTTGGGAGACTGGGACTGAGACTAGGAAGTATAGGTAGGCTGTGACTTGCATTACTTCATAAGACCAGTAGAAACCTGAGGTTGCTTGTTCCTGTCCCTGACTTAGGTCAGAAAACCTCGCCTTTTTTTTTAACGTATTTGGGAGAGTATGTAAAAGAAGGAAATAAAACATAAACAGGGAAGAGCAAAGTAATGAAAGTACCAAAAAAATGTAGGCATTGAGAGACTGAATATCAGATTGGAAGGAGGGAGCAAGGAGGAAGTAAATGTTCAGATATTTGGGAGTGGACTTAGAGGGAGATGGTTCTATGAAAGATGGGGTGAAGCATAGAATTGACAAAGGGGGAAGAGTAGATGGTTCATTTAGAAATATGGCTTATGTTGAGGCTTGCAAATATTTGTCTTATTTTCTATTTTATTGTTTCTTTGAGAGTTCATTTGTGCCATTGAGCAGCAGTTATCACACTTTTGTGTTAGTCACTAGAGTATTTATTGCTTCTTAATGGAGATTGCTCTAATAAAATAAAATAAAAAAAATTTTATTTCTTTGCTAAGGTTACAATGTGTGGTCTACATATCATAATATAATTGGAGCAAAGAAAGCCACTCTCATGCCGAGGCATTTCGGGCAGACTTAACCTAATACAGCCCCTCCTCACTTAGCAATGTACTCGTTTACTGACGACTCGGACTTACAACGGGTTCTCTGACCAGTATGCATACCTAAATAATGTATGTAAGAGCTGATTCCCTCTATTCTGTTTATTACAATACTATACAGTACACTACTGTATAATGCAAAATGGAACTCTGTGTATAAACCTTGGTAATAAATACTGACAAGTTGGTTTAGAAAGACACGTAAGGAAACACTATAACATATTTATTAGAAAACGTTTCGGTCCTGGGACCTTGATCACATTCATCAAACATACAAACATACATTTATATGTTTGTAAAAATGGCTTAATAGTTAAGGGATAATAAAGTATTTGGGGGAGTTGCTTTGAATTTGGTTGGGGTTTAGCATGGTGAAGGTAGGTTTGTTATTGAGAGATGAGATGATTTTTTTAGTACATGAATGCTCTTAGCTAAACTAATTTGTGGGCAGGGGACCTTTTGCTGCTTCAGGCAAAGAGTTCCGTATCTTAGGGCCCTTTATGTGCATTGCATTTTTGTAAGATGTGAGACGGACACAAGGGATATCAAAAAGTGTTGTGTGCCTCGTGTTATGCCTGTGGGTTCTCTTGAAGCTGTCTAGAAGAAATTTGAGCAGAGGGTTGATATTGGAGTTTAATGTTCTGTATATGTAGTAGGCACAATAATAAGTGTGTGTATTATGTTTATTAAGTAAGTTTATGCTTTTGAAGAGAGGTGGGGTGTGTTGTCTGGCACTGGAGTTTGTGATCATCCTCACTGCCACTGTTTGTTGGGTTATTAAAGATTTGAGGTGATTGGCCATGGTAGATCCCCAAGCACAAATACCATAGGTGAGGTAAGGGTATATTAGAGAGTGATATATGGTAAGGAGGGCCGTTGGGGTACATAGTATTGTATCTTGGAAAGGATACCTACTGTTTTGGAAACTTTCTTAGTTGTATGCTGGATGTGGGTCTGATATTTAAGATTACAATCATGGTGGAGACCTAGAAATTTGCCCTCAGTGTGTCTTGTAATGGGTGAACCATTTATCGATATGTGTAGCTGGATATTTGATGCTCTGTTTCCTACAGGCATGAAGTAGATTTTGTCTATATTGAGAGTAAGTTTGTTGGTAATCATCCAATTTGATATTTTAAGTAGTTTGCTGTTTACAGTGTTGTAAAGTAAAAGGACACAAGTGCAACTAATGTGACATTTATTGTGGCAACATTTCGCTCTCCAGAAGCTTTATCAAGCCATTACAAACAATACATGGACACAGAGGGTATATAAAGGCTCTGAGTGAGGTGCAATACTTAAAGTAAAAGGACACAAGTGCAACTAATGTGACATTTATTGTGGCAACGTTTCGCTCTCCAGGAGCTTTATCAGGCTTGATAAAGCTTCTGGAGAGCGAAACGTTGCCACAATAAATGTCACATTAGTTGCACTTGTGTCCTTTTACTTTACATATTGTCGGTAATTCTACCAACTTTATTGTTTACAGTGTTACTAAGTATAGCCGAGTTTGGGTGGGAGAAAACATAAGTGGTGTCATCTGTGAATAAAACTGGTTTAAGGAGTCGCGATGCATTTTGGAGGTCATTGATGTAAATAAGGAAGAGTAGAGGACCTAGGACACTTCCCTATGGCACTCCAACTACTGCAGGCTGAGTATTGGAGGTAATGCCATTTGTGTACACATACTGGTGTCTACCACTAAGATAAGATTTTAGGTAGTTGAGCGAGTGTCCACTGACCCTGTCATGCTCTAGTTTTATTTATTTATTTATTATTAATTTGGACATGATACATAGATGTACAAAGAAATACAGTGGTTAAGTGTAACATGCCAAAAGCCCCTTGTATGCAGAGCATTATGGGCAGGCTTAAAATTAACTTAAGATTAACTAAGCTATGATATATTCAGTGGTAAAAATTATAGTAAACAAATAACAATTAAGCACAAATGAGTATTTCAAAGACAGGTCATATGGTCATTTGCTGAGTTGCTGTGCATTCAGTAGAATGGAGTATTCTGTTAGGTAATGTAATTAAAAAAAAAAAAGTTTGATAGGGTCACATGTTAAACATATATGAGATACAATTATTCAGTATTTATTTAGTTGTGGGTGAGTAAGTGATTTTTAAGAAGAGACTTGAATTTATAAACAGACAGTGTTTCTTTTATATTCACAGGTAATGAATTCCAGATTTTTGGGCCTTTTATGTGCATTGAGTTTTTGCATAGTGTGAGATGGATACAAGGAACATCAGAGAGTGATCTGTGCCTTGTGTTATGGTCATGTGTTCTGTTGAGGTTGGTAAGGAGACGTTTGAGGGGAGGGTTTATATCTGAGTTAAGTGTTCTATGTATGTAGTAGGTACAATAATAAGTATGGATGTTTTGTACGGTGAGTAGGTTTAGAGTTTTGAATATTGGTGGAGTGTGCTGCCTGTAGTGGGAATTTGTTATCATTCTGACTGCAGCCTTTTGTTGGGTTATTAATGGTCTGAGATGGTTTATTGTTGTTGAGCCCCATGCACAAATTCCATAGGTGAGATAGGGGTAAATAAGTGAGTGATATAGGGCCAGGAGGGCTGACTGTGGAACATAGTACCGTATCTTCGATAGTATGCCTACGGTCTTGGAAATTTTCTTGGAAATTTGTTGTACATGTGTTTGAAATTTGAGTCTATTACCAAGGTGGATTCCCAAGAATTTTCCCTCTGTGAGCTTTGTGATAGGTAATCCATTTATCATTATGTTAAGAGGGACATCTGTAGCTCTGTTTCCAAACTGAATGAAGTAGGTTTTGTCAATGTTGAGAGTAAGTTTGTTAGTTATCATCCAGGTAGATATTTTCTGTAATTTGGTATTCGCAGTATTGGCTAGCATGACTGGGCTTGAGTGAGAGAAGACGTATGTAGTGTCATCTGCAAATAGTGTGGGTTAGAGTAGTTGCGATGCATTTGGTAGGTCATTTATGTAAACGAGAAAGAGAAGAGGGCCAAGGACACTTCCTTCTGGGACACCAACTGTAATTGGCTGTGCAGAAGAGTTTGTTCCATTTGTGTTTAAATATTGGTTTCTGTTGCTGAGGTATGACTTTAGGTAGTTGAGGGAGTGCCCTCTTA